ATGATGATGATGATGATGATGATGATGATGATGATGATGATGACGATGATGATGATGATAATGATGATGACAACGACGAAGATAACAAAGATGATAATAAAGAATTAAACAAAGCTCTGAAGAAAATCCTGGACAAAGGTAAAGGTCCAACAACAACCCAGGAGGCCGAAGAGGAGCTCACGTGAGATCGAAGTGTGACGGGCTTTGTGTTGCGCGAAAGACAGAAACTATACAATGATATCCTAAAAGCAGTAGAGAAATGTATACCAATAGATGGATTGGTATTGACTATAATAACGTAATTTAGATGAAACTTGGCTGTTCACTCACCATTCATGATAGAGCTGGGCGGTGTAGGACCATACCTGCATGAACCTATTGTTACCATATTTTTTCTACTCACACTAGCAAAGTGCATCCATGTGCCTGGATTCTTTCCCATTCGGTCGTCAGAGTTTCCTCAAAGTTCTTGAACTTTCTCACATAATGCATGCCCGCCTTATAACAATCCTTCTTTGACGGAGCTACGCAACCAGGTCATTGTCATGAATTATTTTAGTTTGTAACAAATTCTGATAAAATCTTTCTGTACTTTTGAGTAATAATGACCCATATTAATTTGATAGTTATACCATATTTTATATTCACATAGAGATGTTCACGTTCGGTTTTCTTTTATAAAAAGAAATTTAAATACCAAGAAGTTTACGGTGCGTAGCTCCAGTCTTTCTTATTTTTACCAATTGAAATACGAGCTTCTCCGAAGCGAGCCGATGGTTTCTGTTGACAGCTGTCGTCTGCAGCGAATTACGAGTCGAAAGAAATCGGACTAATCTCCGTTCAAAAAATAATATTTATAAACATTTCCGGATTAATGCGATATATTGCAAAGTATTGTAGCATGTTTCAACATTTCTTCTCGTTACGAACATATGCATCTCATGCTCGGAATTAGATAAATAATAAACGTTATCAAACGTATATAGAAGCCACGAAAAGGAGGCTGGTTCACGTTTTAACGGCTACCTAGAAAGAGTCGTCGACTCGCCGCGAGAATTCTCTATTAAAACATTGTCTATTAAAAACATGCACGTTTGGCTTTTGCTAAGCAATTGGGATTGCAGTGGAACGTTCTCTATGCGCTAGCAACAACGTCGAGATCGCACGAGTCAATATATTTTGGTTTTTCCTCAATTCTCTCTTTCTTCTTTGTTCTTGTTTCCAATGTCTCGTTCATTTCTTTCTTTCTTTTCCTTCTTTTTTTTGTCATTCTTGGTTCCCTTATATTCACTTCGATCACTCTTATCCATGCTCCATTAATATTTATCATTTGATCCAGATTGACTTGTGCGATGAGACCAATCAGTCATAGGCTAGCCAATTCTTACAAATCTCTCTCATTCTCTTTGTATCTGACTCGTTGTATATTTGCTTACTGCAGGCGACGGCTGTTTCTACATCGGGATGGGAGGTAAAAGCGCGAAACCCAAGATTCCCTCCTATGAGCCCTACCAGTGCTGTCCCACCAAGCTCGCCCACGGCACCAAGGTCGCCAAGGTCACCAAAATCAGCCCAAATATCAAGGACAAGAGCAAATTTCAAGGTACCGGCAGAACGGATAAGCCACTACTGCCGGCTTTGAAGCCGATAAATAAGCTCACGGCCAAGGACAGCAAAAAATCAGCAACGATATCATCGAAAGTCGACAGCGACGCAAAGGAATCCAAGTCCAAGGCCAAAAGGGGATTTTTCGGAAGCGGTAAATATATATTTCAACTAGCTGCAAAGTTAAATGGCTGCCCACACGTACGGTCCATCAACCACTTTGGCAAATTAAAAGTAAACGTCCACCGAGGAAAACAGATTTTCATCGACATGACAACCGCACCAATTTCTTTGGAACGAAAACCAAATCGGACAGCAAACATGCAATAATATAATATAATATAATAGATTAATAAAAAAAAATTAATTAATTAAACTCAAATTAAAAAAAATTTATTAATTGAACTCAAATTGAAAAAAAAAAGTGATCAATGATAGATCGTCTGCTGTGGGTATAGCGATTTAACGTGTTGCCTTCTTTTGGGAAAAGTTAGCGAGCGATGAACGCGATAAATGCTTAGCATAACAGACCGAAAAGGAAATAGTGAGCTCGAAGATAATAGATTTTTTGAGGCCGAGCCACCCGGAGCGCGAGAAGGTTTGCTACAGCGGAAATAAGATCACGGTCACCTGACTTTTCGTCCTCGTATCTCGGATGCAGGTACCTCGCGGGTCTCGCGCGGTCCATGAAGAGCGTCAACGACGCACAACTTCCGGACGAACAAGACGATCGAAGATTCGACAATCGACACGTGACTTCCACGCGGCTCTGGCACCGGCACCGGCTGGATTCTCCGAGTCCTCGAGTCGTCAGAATAACGAGCACCGATTCGTTGATCGCGCCGACCGATTCATTAACTTATCGGGCTATTTATTCGAAATGATCAATGATTCGGTCGATCATTCGTAAAGCGTAATCTCTTATCGTGTAATAATTCAGCGAGCCGACGGTGGAGCTAAGATTATTCACGAATTACAAGAAACCGTTTTCTCGCCTTAACGATTAGCGATTTTATTTTATATTTATGAGTTATTGCCAATATAAAATGTTTTTTGGACAATCTTCTCGTCTCGGCGATACGCTTAGAAAAGAAATTCGTAAAGCAGCCTAGCTCCTAACGTTTGTAAAACTCCCATCCCGCGTAAATATACAATTTCCTATGTGATATGCATTGGTCGATTCAAAATATCTGCTTTGAATTCGGACCACGCGACCCCTCGAACATACATCGTCATTGAAGAGGACAGACGACAGCATATTTAATACGTAAAGGCGCGAAGGATCGTGATCGTGAGAATGATTTTTCTGTCCTCTCACTGAGAGTCGGGGTTGTCGGTTGTTGCAGTTGTGGCTGGAATACCGTACCTCATGAAGGTCTAAATGGCCGACACGTACATCGACGTCTGGACGCGCGAGGTCGAGCTGTGAACGGCGATTAGGAAATGAAGAAAGAGGACTCGCAGGACGATGGTCGAATGAAGGAAAAATTCGCGCGACGGAAAATCCGCGCAATGACGGAAGAAGTCAGGTGCTCTATGTTATTATATGCTAACAGCTCGAACATAAATTTCGCCGCTGAGCGAGTAAAGATTTCATGTCTCTTAAAGGAACGAAACGTCTCGTTGCTATTTAACACATTATTGTCATCGTTTATCGATTATCAACAATATTGTCCCATCATTGTGTTCGCCGTCGAATTCACTTCTCATCATTACTGTGTTATCACCGTCAGCGTTATCGTCATCAGTATCACAATACACTGTCATTTTCATCAACGATGTCGTCATCTTTCTTCTCGATATGTTCATCCGTGTGTCATGCGTAAAAAAAAATAAATCCGCGAGCGATTTTAATGTTTCTGTTAATATTACGTATGTAAGGAGCCTAGATGTAAACGCATCCTACGATCGATAAAAGGACATTATAGAGAAATAATTCGCATCGGCTGTGCATATACGATACTAAAGATATTCGAGGGGAGTAATTTTCGATAGAAAGTATATCAGTTCGGTGCCTGCCGATGGTCACGATATAAATAGAATTATTCTCGCAACGTATGCATTTCTTATGTAGAATCTCGATCCTTAACATCCGACCGTCGTTTAACGCTGAATATTTATCGATTTTGTTTTGCTCGTTTAACCCGTTAACGTCACGAAGAGCGATACCGCTGATTTATTGCATTTCAACGACAACATTCGTACGCAGTAATGGGTAGGACTTTATAGCATAGAGAAAAGAAAGTGTGAACAGTCGCTGTTGCCGAGACTATCGATACTGTTCTACCTAGATTTTGCGCGGTACACGCTCTAGCGTATAATTTAACGTGAGAGAGATTAATCGTTTGTAACTAAACCCTTTCATTCTAGAGCCTCCGTTTTATCGATCTCTGTATGCTTTCTCTTCTATCCCAATAAAAACCTACTGATCCTCGAGCTAACTTCCCTCTTCAACATTATATTTATAAGACTAAAGAGATCTCAAGAATGAAATGGCTGAGGCTCAGTTAGCGCGAAGCTATGAACAAATGTCTTGCCTATAATTTAATTTATAACGAGATTTCTTAATAATACATGGAGTTCCTACAGTGTGTTTATGTCAGTCTTCTGTTCTAAAGCGGGAATAAATCAGGAATATTATTATTACGACGATGTCAATCAAAAAAATTTCCAGTTTCAAAATATTTGGCATCGTAACATTTATTGAAATCATGTATATTGCAATCTCACCATTGAAATTTTGGAATTTATGGATGTTCGGGATTAAAATGATACAAGAAAAGAAAAGAAAATCTTACAAATTATAAATATAATTATATGTATTGTTTTTTTTTAAATCTAAAACGTTACTTTTAATCCCGGCATAAATATTTCTGCTCTCTCTTTGCGATATGTTGAGATTCGACACGGGTGTCTTGTTACTTCCAAAATTTCTAATGTTTATCTAGCTTATTAGGTTCATACTGATTGTATAAACTACTACAAAACAAAGAATAGCCTTTCGAAGAATCGCGCAAAAAACACTATAATAAAAGCATCTATTTATTTATTTATTTATTTATGTATTTATTTATTTATTTGTAATTAAAATACTTTCTCTTAAGTATTCGCCATTTTCTCGCTCAGTGTCCGCTCTGCGCAAAATACAAATACGTCATCACTGTCAAAATTGTCAAGTTACAGGCGGGATTCGCGTAATAATACTGTGTCGCGATCTAAGAGTGTACGGTCGATCATTTTAGGTACTTTAGAAAAATTCGTCGCGTCATTAACGAATGAAACTTTTTGTCGCAATATCTGTGATCACGATTATCAGACGTCATGAATTATTGCTCGTGAACGTTGCGTGCGAGACAATAAATCCGTACTATTCGCATAAGAGCAGCATGTACGATAATAAAAGTCGATATTATACGATAATAATAAATACATTTCCTAATATCCTTTGTCTTTGCTTTATCCACCATCGCTCTAATAATGATACATATTCCATTATTGTACATACGCTTACACGACCGCACGATACAATAATGTTTTGTCAAAAATTTCGAATTTATCATATAATTTCCTGATTGCTTGATTCATAAAAATCTACATTAAAATTATGTAGATTATATATGAATTAATGCAGAAAAATCATAGAAAGTATAGAGATAAATTATTTATCTTTATATACGGTAAAATTAATGTTTAAAAAATAAAATTTTTATTTTTATTAAATATACTTATAAAAATAAAGCTTAATTTTTAATACTCATTTTAATCAATTTTAATAATCATTTGTTCATACAACCTCTAAACAAGTTCAAAATTTTTAGCTTAATTTGTTAAAAATTACTGTCCTTAAACAATCTTTAACAAATTAAGTGTACTTGCAATCTTTTTTAATTTTATATATAGTGATAAAATCACATTACAAAGATATAAAACTTCGTCATTATAAAAATCTTTATATTTTCATAATAAAACAGTTTATGAAAAATTGAAATGAATAGCCATTCCAGAACAGCGTCAGTATGAATAAAACTATCGCTTCATCGACATATTATTTTTTAATAAAATAAATTATTATGATAGTTCTAAATACCTATTATTTTTATAGCTAAGCTAGCGTAATATTGTCACAAAAATCTGTTCTCAGGAAAATTCTTAAAAAAAGAATAACTATCTTGGGCTTCAATATAATTTTGCGCATAGATATTTTACCAAAAATATGTATTTAATAATACTTTATGTTGAATAATATTAGTCATTATTATTTTAAATACAATCATAAAACTATATTAAAGATTTTTTACTATATATTGTCCTTGTCAAGAAAACAATTTAAAAAATATTAAAGTTAAGATTATTAAATAACTAACACATAATGAATAAAATGTGAGGTATAGAATATCAATTAAAATTAATTATGCTAGCTTAGTATATAACGAAAAAAACACTAAAATAAAACACGAAACAAAATCAAATAAGATAAATGTTTTTTTCAAAAATATCTTCTCAATATTAATGCTAAATCAAAAATCCAGAACTTATGTCCGCATTTTATAAAACATTTCGTACACATCTGTGTAATAAAAGTTGTAGTTTTAAATAATTTATAAAGAACTTTATATATATGTATATTTCTTAATAGTGTTGGAGAGAATACCTAAATAGCTCATAATTTTAAAGATCTTTTTCCAAATTTCGAAGAAGATACTATTTGTTTCAGCATTAATTCAACTCTGACTAGCAAAATATTAGACAAGTAATTGTCGTATTATCAACTGGGCCATGTATAACATTTAGGTAATCTTCTCGACGAGACCGAAGTACTCGAATGGATGGTGAAACAGAAAACTGATGAGAGCATTGAAGAAATCGACCGTGAGACTCTCTTCAAATACATCGAAACAAAAGAATTTCTCGCTGTCATATTTTGTAAGGAACAATTTCGAATCAACGTATTTTACACGAAAATAACCGATAAAAAAACTCAGCTCGTTTTTTTATTTCTTTTATCTTTTTTATTTTAAAGTTTTAAATATTATACACTTAACATCGTATTATGAATATATCTGTTGTTAGATATCTATTGTTAAATACGTTATGGATTAATATGTATAATCAATTATTTTCTTATATAATTTATGATCTATTTTCGATAATTTTATGCGAAAGGATGAGTCCAAAACGCGTATATTAAATTTTTCTTATATCACGCTTTATTTTCAAGAAAATCAGTTTTTAAAATTAAATAATTGATTTTCAGTCATTATGCACTCAATCAAATATTTGAAAAAAATTTTATATTGTAATCAGAATAGTAGGAGATACTATAATCACATACGTAGGATTTTATATGTTACGTAACGAAAAATATTTAGACAAAGAGGAAGATCCAGAGAGTCCCAGGGTGCTTAGGCATATCGAATTGATTGACGATGAGGCAGCGGAATACGGAATAAAGATTGTCAGGATGAAGGATCGGCTAATGGCGAAGAAATACGGTTTTCGAAATCCACCCGGCATCACTTACTTCCGCAAGGGTAAGAACATCAATTATGATGGTGACATCGACGACGAGGAAGAGATCCTCGACTGGTTGACCAACCCAGAAAATATGGAACTCACCGATCACATAGAACGTATCAACAAAAAGATGTTTCAGAAAGTCCGACAAACGACAGATTATTTAGCTGTATTTTTTTGTGAGTGTCAATGTATAATCAATATAATATAATGTAATAAGAACAATTATGTTTACGTTTATCATTTCTAATATGTCGCGCGTTTGTTTAGACAGCAACGACTGCAAACAGTGCGGCCGAGTATTGGCGGAAATCGAACATATCGACGACGAAGCCGACAGCGCCGGTATTAAATTTGTCAAAATCGATGACAAACAATTAGCTAAGCAATATGGTGTTTTCGCGTTACCCGCCATACTATTCTTCAAGATGGGATCGAAGGAACCAGTTATATATGCAGGTACAAAACGGACTACACGAATTTTCTACCAGTGAGATAGATAAAAATTGAAAAGGTTAATTTAATAGGGGATCTGTACGACGAGGAGCAGATTTTGCAATGGTTGATGACGCAAAAGGACCCATCGGGTGAGGCGATCGAAGCTATGGAAGGCGAGGCCCTATTAAATTTGATACGAGAATCGGAATCTTTAGCCGTATACTTCTGTAAGTTCCTGAATGCCTCGAGAATAACTTCGTGATAAATTATCCAAAAGTTTATCGTTAATAGCTTCACGCGCTCTATTTTCTCTTTTTATTTAGTTTATTTTCATTATGTTATTAATTAATATTTAATTATCGTGTTGACGGACATTTTTTTGATAGCGACAGCGCCAGTTTGTTTCACACTTATATCTGTTCCCTTTAAACAGCGAGATTGGACAAAAAACTGCATTTCATCAGGGAGATTTCCGTAAAAGAGCGACTTTGCGGAATGTTAAAGGGATACTTCTTGATTTCGCGATACTTCTTCCTGAACTTGTGATTTTTTCCTCCTTCCCATTTCACAATCCTTATTAAATTAATTTTTACAATAATTAATCTTTGTATAATTATGACTGTAATGACGAGATACTAACTCTCTAACAAATGGATTACTCGTCTCGGTCTCTCTCCTTATTCTTTCTGTTACGTATCTAACGCTGTCGACTTTCGCTCCGATGCTGTACACTTTGTGTACTGATGCCGTAGGGAACAGAACGCTTTGCGACGTGTGCCAATCAAAAACGTACCGCAAGCAGATGCGCCAGAGGGAGCACAGGACCGTGGAACATGCAGAGGCAGTCGAACACCACGATGGTACAACCGATCAAAGCAAGATCAAAATTTATCGATGCCCTGAGCTTCCTTGCTGTCTACATCTCTCTTTCTCTCTTCTTTATCTCTTCCTCTCTCTGTCTCTTTATTTCTCCTTTTTCTACTTTTCTGTGATTTATAGTTTATATTTCAGTTATCTCGATCATAGATAACCGAGATGTAATCCCAGCACATGCACAAACACGCACGGAGAAAAAAATCAACCGTTGGAAGTGTGTAAAAGCATATTTTGTTATTTGATTAGTTGATATTACAATGAAACTTATCTCATCGGTAAATTTGTTTGTAAAAACATAAATTTGCCATCAAAGAAAACATAGTTTACTGTTTTTAATAGATAACAAATTTTATCATTGTAATCAAACTCCGTTAGCATTCTTTACATTAGTGTTTAACATTAAATCCTTTTGCTTTCCGTATAATAATTGATGATATTCGTATAAAATTTACTGAGCAGGCAAACTTTTTTCTCCGTGTACAATCACGTGCGATTTATCGGTACGCAATATACGCGAACTTTGCCGGAATCCGGAAAAGTTTTAAGAAATAATGCGTGCCAGCGTAGTGCATGCGCTTTTTTCGTAGAAAAGATAAAAATATAAAAGAACACTGATGATGGACACATTTGTATACCTTAAATTTGCTGACAGAATATTTAAAAAAAATATATAAATCTTTTATATGTTTAATTATAATACCGGAATGTACTTCGATTCTCTCTTTTTAACCCCATCAGTGTTTTCCAAATTATATTTATTTTATAGCTAATAAAAACAATTGTGGACGTAGAACCGCCACTTTCCAGGCCAAACATTTGTAGGATGCTTTCTCCAAAGAAACGATGTATTCCGCTCTCTCTTTCTTTTTCTTTCTTTCTCTCTGATATATTCTCTATAGTCTATGTACAATTACACAGTTACACAGGTGCACGTGCACGAGAGCAAAGCATGCGACATATGAGAACAGAACACAAGCAGCCAAGCAGTAGTGACCTACAGATCCCGATGAGCATGCAAAATTCTCTCTCGCTTATTTCGTCGATGAGACAGATGCTCTAATATCGTTGAGAGTTCAAACATCACGTATAGATCGTAGATGATCGATTCTTGTCGCAGTCTTACTCACACTTTATTACGTGTAATTGCCTTGTATTTAGCAGATTCCTTCCTCGTATCGAGTAGATCTTTTACATCAACGATATCGATGTGCAATATTCCGTTATCTAGTATCGCCTCTCTATACTTTAAATAGATTAGATATTATTAGATTAAGCAGATTAGAGACCGCGAATTCGCAATAAAGATTCGATAATAATAGAATCTCTCTTCAGATCCTGACGATTGCGCGCAATGTGTGGCGATACTCGAGGAATTGGAGAACATTGATGACGATTGTGATAGACACGGCATCAAATTTGTAAAAACACAAGTAAGTGGAAACATCAGTGATGTATCAGAATCACCTTTTCGTTTTTTTTTATATTTTATTATTTTTTTTATATTAAGTAAGTAAGTTGGTTTATTATTAATAACATAACCAGAAAGAAGGTTTTGTGTTTTATAAAAAAATTAAAAATGTAAAATAAACATTTCTTATATAACCTTTCGTTTCTTCAAAAAAATTTAATTTGAAATTTAAGAAATTAAGATCTCTTTTGACTTAGGTTTGTATAACTTTTAAAAATAATATTTTAACAAAATAAAGATATAACAGTAACTTTTTTATATCAAAAAGTAAAAATATAAAAATGTAATATTTGAGAATATAAAATTAATATAAATATTTCATAAATAATTTTTCTCTTAATTGTCGCTATTCTTTTCATCTACATGAGAACATCCTTCATTTTTGCAGGATTTCAAAGTTGCTGAGGACTATGGAGTGACTGATTTACCAGTATTAGTCTACTTCGAGAATCAAGTACCGAACGTGTTCGAAGGTTTGCAGTTTTGGCAATTAGCTTCCCCGATAGCGATTTTATTCACAATTATTTGTCTATAGGCGATCTTTCTGTGGAAGAAGAAGTGTTACAATGGCTGATTACTCAAAGAACGGAAGATCGGATTGAACTGGTCACACGAATGATGCTAGAAACGTCTGTCGAGGAGACTCAATACTTAGCGGTTTATTTCAGTAAGTTAATTACTATCAAAGATCAAGATGTACTGTGATTTATTCCAGTATATGAATGTAACATCGATATCTTTGTAGCCAAGCAAAATTGTCATATATGCGACGAGATTCTGGAAGGCTTGGAAAAAATCGATGACGAATGTGACGTATTTGGGATTCATATGGTGAAAATTCAAGATCCGCAGCTGGCAAAACGATATTCGATCAAGACGTTCCCGGCTCTAGTTTATTTCCGAAACGGCAATCCTCTTCTCTTTGAAGGTTCCACTACCTATATCCTAATATACTTTATTATTCTTGACTATATCTAAATATTCTTGTTCGCGTAACGAATAAAGATAAAGAATTTTAAAATGTTGCATGCGTAGGGGATCTTCAAAACGAAGAATCCGTCCTCGAGTGGCTAATTGACGATGAGAATCGAGAACTGGCCGATGAGATAGAGTCCGTCAACGATAGAATGCTAGAGAGACTTCTCGACGAATCTCCTTTCCTAGCCGTCTTCTTTTGTATGTTACAAATAATCGATCTTGCGATGTTAAACTTTCTATGTAGAATATTCCTCACTAAGCACAACTTCTTTTTAACTAAAGATTTTTGAACTTGAATCAATTTTCAAAAATATTGAAAAAGGTTATTGTGTATCGTAATTTTACATTTTTCAACCTTATATATTTATGTATATAATTAAAATTCTGCCAAAGTAAAATTTGAAACTAATTAAAACTTTATCAAAGTAAAATTTAAAATTAAAAATATAATTTTATCGTCTATTCATTTCTGTAAAGCTTTGTTTTCTTTTTTTAATGAAGAAAAAATAGAGATCCGAAATCAGCTTAAAAATCCGCAATTCTAGGAAAACTAGTGAGATAGCTATTTTGATACTGAAACATACACACATACATATATTTTCTAGATGACGAAGATTGTCCGGAATGTGATGAAATTATGGAAGCACTAGAGAAAATTGATGGCGAAGCCGATCTTTTCGGTATCGACTTCGTTAAGATCTCCAGTTCAGAGGCTGCTGAAAAATATGGCATTCTCAATGTTCCGTCTCTCGTGTACTTCCGAAAGAAAATGCCGCTCGTATACGACGGTGATCTCATGCAGGAAGATAAAATCCTACAATGGCTCACTTCTCAAGATGTGTTTGAGATTAAGAATGAAATAGAGGAAGTTAACAGGAAGATGCTAGACAAATTGTTGGACGAGAACGAGTTTCTCGCAGTTTTCTTCTGTGAGCAAATCTAAATTACAAAAATACAAATTGTGTGACGCTATTATATTTGACAATGTCTCGTTTATCTATTGTTTCTAGATGAACATGACAGTCACGAATGCGAGGAGGTGAACGAAAAACTAGAAGAAATCGACGACGAAACTGACAATCTGGATATTACATTTGTCAAAATGGCAGATCCCAGATACGCTAGAAAATGGGGAGTTACCAAGCTTCCCGCAATTGTTTATTTTCGTAAACGTTTCCCTAGTATCTATAGAGGTAAGAAACTTTGCGACGTAAATGTAAAAGACATATTTAAAAAAACGGCTTATTATTAAGGATCGTTTTTCTTCAGTGCTGTTTGATTTTAATTACAGGTGATATGCACAAAGAGATGGACGTTCTCGAGTGGTTACGCAAAAACAGATATCGGCAGCCGGAACTCAACATCTATATGTACATGCTGATTGCTATTACCATCCTCTTCCTCATGTACACCGGTTTCCTTCTGTCGTGTTTCCGCTCGGAGCCGACCGCGCCGGTCGCGCATCCCAAGCAGGCGTGAACGCACGAATAGTATATGAAAGTGACAAATAAAGTAAAAGACAGGACTCGTGAACTCTCGCGCCTGTGTGTTGCCCGGCACTCTCTCAATATTCTCTCTGATTCCCGTACACGATTATATGTGGATAGGTTCGTCCGGAACGAACGATTTAACAGCGCTTTACGCGACAAGTAACGATGACCGAAAAGCGATGAACGGAAGCGAACGGCCTGCCCGTGAGCGCGTCCGGACCGCTGTCAAACGTTAAATAATATTGCGTGAAAGAGAGGGAGAGAATGTGTCTATTGACTGAACTTCGTCATGGTACTTCGAGTCGAAAAGTACTCGCGCGTAGGTAGCGCGAGCTACAAGTTTTATCTCTCGGATATTGTAATATGCCAGTTCATCAGTCGAGCTAAAAGATATGTAATTTTAGCAAACTGACATCGATACTATTACATTCTTCGTCCCACAGAAAAAGATACAAGCGATTAATGTTTATATTATAAAGATATATAATATGTAATCATATATAATATATATGTATATATATATACATGTGTATATATAGACTTCCTTAATGTATCATATACATGTGTCATATATAATATATTAAGGAAGTCTACTGTAATATAGGATATTTGTTCAACACTTGGCCCACCTAGTATCGCTAATCCTAAAGAGTTGGTATATTTGGTTGGAAGATTTTCATAACACGACG